ACTTTCGCCTTTGGCTTGCTTAGTTGGGGACACTTAATCTCTTGCAGTATTATCGACTTGATTGCACAGACACTATCTGAAGAGAACTGAACTAAGCTGGATGATGACGTCACTGATCTGTATTGTATAAAGCACTATATGAATAGAGGTGACTTGACATGACTTGATACGGTTGCATATTGTGCAACACAAGTATGCGCCTCTATAAAGGCATGTGGACGTACCAGGCCCATACGTCCCCTCTGCTGTCTGTGCTGTAGTCGTTCATACAGCCCAGCAAGGCTTCATACACAGGCCTTGTGTTGTCCTCACACAGGACACGGTCGGGGCTGCCTCGCGCACACACTCCTACAGCTACACACACCCTGAGAAGCACAAGAAAGCACAGGACACATGGACATGCAATGCAAGATGGGACAAAGCAGTGAACGGAGACATGAATTTCAGGTCCTGCAGGAAGGAGCAGGCGTTGACCGAGCTTAAGCTCAGGCAGACTGGTTCTTCAAGCGCAAAGGAGACATAAAAAGGTGTTACTCACTGAGACATGGCTGTGGCCGCATCCCTCCTGGCTTCTGTTAGACTTTCTTCTTTCTGCACTACCTTACAGGCAGCCTGGAGCCCAGGCAAGATCTAAGGAGCGCGTTTGAGAATGCAAACTCAACCTAACAATTCAGATACAGACTTGAGCAGACGAGACATTATGAGGTCTGACCTTCTGGAGTTTGCCACGGATCATAAACAGAGGCAGTGAGCCCAGGGCGAGAGCGCAGCCACAGTGCGTCAGAACCTCGGGACTCTTCAGGGCCGACAGGTATTAACTAACCAGCTGATCTGTATGGCAACAAATGGATGTAAACAAACAATAAATGGCCAAAAGTATGTGTACACCCAAAAACACACCCTTAAGTACTTGTTCAGCCTTAGTTTCCTGTACCTTGCATTTACGCATGGGCTACCCCTGGTTCAACCCGATAATACTGCCGACACAATGCTGCCAGCGCTGACACTGCGGCATCCTTCAAAAAAACATATGTAATATTTTTATAACGACCATATTGTTGGTACAGTTGTAAGCTGTTCTGGGTGTTGAGGTATGGACTGTACCTGTATGTAGATTAACTCAAATCGGCTGACAGCATCACAAACCCATTAAACAATCCCTCCTCCATGAGACATTTGTGGTAGAAGTAGCAGTAGTTATATATTCTGATCGCCATGTTAGCATCTAAGGTTATCTTCATGGCAAAAACTGAGATGTAATAAAATAAGAGTCACTAGAGTTAAAATAGCAAAACAAAAACCCAAGCAAACATCAAAATACAGCAGTT